TTTTCTTTCTTTTCTTTCTTTTCTTTTCTTTCTTTTCTTTTCTTTCTTTTCTTTTCTTTCTTTTCTTTCTTTCTTTTCTTTCCTTCTTTCTTGACAAGAGCCACACAGCAATAGGTATGCTTTAGAAAGCCCTACACATGGTTTACCAACGCCTTGGAACGAGCACATTGTTCGCCATTTGCTATAAGAGAACCCAGTCTCACAGCAACACCAGGCTAATGACATGCCACCTGCCTGCATGCCCCTTTGCCTCTCCAGTACAAGTTCCCGTTTGCACTCTCACTAAGAATGGCTTCTGCTTCTCTGGCCACTAGGTGACATTTTGTTGAATGTGAATGGGATTGAACTAACAGAGGTCAGCCGGAGCGAGGCAGTTGCTTTATTGAAAAGCACATCCTCCTCGGTGGTACTTAAAGCTTTGGAAGTTAAAGAACATGAGCCTCAGGAAGATTGCAGCAGCCCAGCAACCTTGGACTCCAACCACAACAACACAGCCCCACCTGGTGACTGGTCCCCCTCCTGGGTCATGTGGCTGGAATTACCACGGTGAGTCCCAATGTGACATCCTCGGGGAGGTGTGGGAGGAAACAATTACAGCTCTTAGACCACTCTTTCACTTTCTTGGGCTGATTCATGGCACTAGCATCTTAATGAGACCCAGGCTTGGTTGTGGGAATATTTGAAATGATTGTCTTTCCTTTTGTAACTGAAAATGCATGCAGCAATCTCAGGCAGGTACAAGAAGCCTGGTTATGGAAACACTGTTAGGCACTGATGTGGAGAAGCTCGTTGGTCAGCCATGTACGGTTGTGTGGGTTGTACATGCAGCAAGAAGCTCAGCTAATAAGGAGAGGAGGCTGTGATCCAGCCTGTGTTCACACATCCTGGAGCAGGGGAAGGTCACCTTTCCCTGGTTGGCTAGTGGCAGCTCTAGGAACTTGCATGAATGTAAAACCCCTCTGGTTTCACCTCTCCAGCTTCCAGGCAGCCCTGGCTAAACGCATGCAGAGCAGTGCAGCAGCACATTTTGCCTTTGCCCAGATGTTGGGGCAAGTGTTGATTGAGGACCTGTCTCAGATCACCTCTCCCTAGTTGCTCCTGTTGTAAAGTTCTTGCATAAACCTTTAGGAATCAGCTAGGTTGCCATTTCAGTGAGATGTAACTAGAGCCTTACAGGGAAGGGAACTTAAGTGTTTCAGTCAGTTCAAGAAAGGATTTGGGGGCAGCCTTGCTAAATGGCTAGATCCAGAAATTGAATATTCCAAGGATAGATAAATTGGGGTTTACCCACCTGCATCAGAGCATAAACTCTTGGCTTTCAAAGAATTGCCTTAATAACTCCAAATACATGGTTTAAACGTTCAACATTAGAGTCACTGATGATGATATGCTGGCAGAGGATTAAATGAATGAAAGTGAGATGTTTGATTTTAGGGTGGACATTTTTCTTGAGGGTGTAGATAGGTTGGTGTCTCTTCTTTTTTCTTCTAAATGAGGTTTTAAAAAATACCCCTACCTCAGATACAAACTGACCTCGATTCCTTTTCAAGCTTTCACTGCTGGAGGTTTATAATAAAAGGAGGAACCAGCTCCATCTTCCAGGTGGTGGAAACTTCTCTTCATGACACAGGGTTGTGTGTTTCTTTTCTTCTCCCACACCAGCTAAGGTCATCCTTGCAGGGCACTCACGGTTTCCGACCCTGCCACACAGACAGGCTGCTGCTTCCTGTCCTTCTGTCCTTCCGGGCATGCTTCCTGAATGGGTTATCAGTTTGGGTTTTCATTGCCTCACTCATCCCCTTCTTCTCTGCCAAACTGGGCTCTGCCGGACAGCCCGCCTGCCTCTTTCTGGTGGTCCCTGTGGAGTGGGCGTTCTGCCCGTCAGAGAGGCCGCTCACCATGGCCCCAGGGCCCTGCAGGCTGGGTCCGCACTCTCCAGGCTGGGCAGTCTCTCTTCTGCCTTCCCGCTTTGACTTTCACTGCCTTGGGCAGTTCTCCTTCAGTTTTGTTTCATATGGAGTTTGCATGTCCGTTTCCAAGTCTCCTAGTCGCCTTTATAATAACTTTTAAAAGCAGAAGGGGAAACACAATCTTCACTATGACATTTTGGAGCTAGAAGGATGTCCACCTGGCATTTTTCAGAAGTCCTTAACACTCAGTCTCACGGTCCTATACAAGCCCCCAGACAGTCCCAGGATGTGAGTCCCAGTCGTAACACTGCTTCCATTTTCATGGGTGGGAGATCCACTCGCATTTCTAACCTTGACTGCAGAGAGCCCTGGAGACCTCAGGTTCTCCCCGATTAATGCAATATCATCGACTTAAATGTCTCTAGTCATTTGCATTAGAGATGTCCTAAGAATTTTGGCCATTTGTTGTACATCAGCAAAAGTTACTTGCCTGCTGGAACTTCTAGAGATTTAGGCTACAAATAGATTTTTTTTTAACTCACAAAGAAGGCATTTCCCTCCAAGTTATACATTTACTCAGTCAAACTTTTTCCCCTTTTGCTGAACAGATTTTGAGAGAAACTATTTGCCCTAAAGTATGATCCAGCCAGTTACCTAAGATTCTCTATCAATGAAGAAAAACGGTGACATGTCAGCAAGTCTAGAAACAGAAAACCCCTTCTCTGGGACATTGTGATCGTGTCCTCAAGTGCAGTCCATCACATAGAATGAATGTGTGTAAAGAGCGTACTGTTAGAATGCTGACCCAGTGGGTGCCTGTTCTGAACCAGTGGGTGTTAGATATAATGAGCAGTAGTCGAGAGTAAAAATAGGTTATTATTAAGGACAGTGCAAATATGTCTTCTCCTTATCAGGGGTGCCTTGGGTCCCAATAGTGAGCCCTGGGCAGTAGCTCCAGACACAGTCTCTAGGCGACACAAATTACCAGATGCCATTCAGTTGGAGGGGATTCAGAAAACACTGAAGACCTTCTGCTTTATTCACTGTTGGCTCTCAGGACCCATGCTCCACATCTGGAAGTCTTGCAAAACATGCTCTCATCTGGACTAGTATGATAGTAATAACACATTAACTCATTTCTCTCTCTTTTTAAACACTCACTTCTTTCCTTGCCCAAGAATTTAACCTTTTGCTTTCCTGAATTTCACTTTCCTGAACTTAGAGCAGTTTGATGAGGATTGTCTATACTGAAGAGCAAGGAGGCAGATATCATGGATTTTTATTTTTAAGTCAAAAACTTCTACATTTTAACTATAAGATAGGGACGCTATCAGGTACATCCAAGCCTGTAATAAAACTAACAACTGCAACAGTAGCTCACACTTATATCCTTTTCTGCATGCCAGGTAATCTGCCAAGTGCTTTACATGTTCTTTGCATTTTTCACTCATTTAAAACTCACGTCAGCCCTGTGATCTAGGTACCAATATTATCCCCACTTTAAAAACGGGAGATTGAAGCACAGAGTGGTTAAGTAACTTGCCCAAGGTTACATGTTGGTTACTATGCAGAACTGGGGTTTGAACTAGGCTGCCTGGTTTGGGATCTTAACCACTGTGCAATTGGTGAGCATCCTTAAGAAGACTTAAAGCCTAATTTAGTTCTTATAATTTCAGTTTTACCATTTGTTTTCTCTCTACTGTAAAGTGAGTTCTGCAGGAATGTGAATGATTCGGTGGATGTTTCATGTAGCCACCAGCATTGTATGTATTTTTTTTAATTGCTTAACCTCTTAAGCCTCAAATTTCTTGCCATTTCCCTCCCATTACTCCCTGTGTGATGATTGCTAATAAGTTACAGTCAATCGGGAATCAAATGAGTAACTCACTGTGAAGTCATTTCAAGAGAAAAATTATTTTTTCTTTTACACCTACCCCAACTCACCTATATTTAATGTGGGATATGAACAAACACTTTCATGTGTTTGTTATAATAATGCGTGGAGCCTCCACAAGAAAAGGCTACTTAGTGTCTCTGTAGGTCTTTAAATGGCTCTGCTCAACAGGCATTAGTTGAATGAAATAATGAATATAGCATGTACCAGGAGAAGCCCCCATGGACTTCATAATATAATAGGCAACATGTCACAGTAAATTAAAGATTATGAATTACAAAAGTTACAATTAAAATACATAGGCACAGGGTGCTTTTGGAACCTAGGAAAGACACTGGAGTGAATGGTGGTCTGTTTTATCTAGCTGGAGGATATAACCAAAATAGGAGAGTAGGAATATCAGTTGTTTTCACAGTCATGATACATAACAAACCAGCCGCAAAACCTCGGTAAGCAGGCAACAATAGGTTTATTTAGCTCGTGAGTCCGGGGTGGAGGTGGGGAGGGTGCCTGTGAGCTGATCCCGGTCAGGCGTGGTTGATCTTGGCTGGCTCCCCTGTGCGTTGGCAGTCCTCTTTGGGGCATTCAGGGGGCTCTGCTGATCTTGGCTGGCCATGCCCACGTGTCTAGGATCTGGCTGGCTCTGGCAAACATCCCACTGATGATCTTATGACTACATCCACAATCAGTAGGAAGGCACCACAAAGTTATGCCGTAAGAGGCATAGATACCAGGGAAGGGTGATGACTTTGGGCCATTAATGTAATTATTTTGCCACAATAAGGAAGAATGATGAGATATTAGTTGTTTTGGACACATTGAGTTTGAGTTACCAGTGGGACAGTGGGACATGAAGTTTGATAAACGGGTCTAGAGCAGAAATTCCCAAAGCTTTTGCCTCAAGACCCCTACACATACTCACAAAGAGCTTTTGCTTATATAGGTTATATCTAATAATATTTACCTTATTATAAATTAATCTGAGAAATTTTGAGTTTTATTTATTCACTTAAAATAGTAATCCCATTATATGTAAAAATAAAATAACATCTTTCATGAGAAAAAATTTTTAAATGACAGTATTTTAAAAAATTACAAGAATGGCATTGTATATTTTTTGCAAACCTCTTTAATATTTGGCTCAATTAAAGGTAACTGGATTCTACTCCTGCATTCAGTCTGTTGCCAGATCACCTATCACGTGTCCCCTGGAATATGCCATCCTATGCTCATAAGAAAATAGGAGTGAAAAAGGCAAATAATGTCTTCCCATTGTGACAAATATTTTTTGACTTCCAGACTCCCTGAAAGGCACACACACTGTGAGAAACCACACTTTGGTAGTATAGGGGCTCAGTGAAGAGGTCCGCTGAGGAGTGGGCTGAGGAAAGGGGAGCCCTTGAAGGAGGCTAAGAACAGCCAGTGAAGGAAGAACAGAAAAACATGTAGCTTCCTGAGAAGCCCAGGACTTCACCACACCCGCCAACTCCTTTCAGTGGAGGTTAAATTTCTTTTTGAGGTAACCATAATGTTCTCATTGGGAAATGTTACCAAACTCCTTGCTATTCTTTACTCTATGCCAAATCTTCAACTAGGCTGTAATTTAGAGAATTCAGAATGGGAAAAGAGCTCACATTTAAATTTAGATTTTTAAGTCACAGTATCTCAAAGGTAAATCCTTAACATTAATCAAAGACAGCTCCACATTTCCCGGTAGGGAGTGAAGTGATTCCACTGAAGAAAAAAATGCCCTAAAACTTGTAAGTCCCAACTAACCAAGGTCTGACTAAAAGGGTTTAACATACTGAGCTCTCTCTCACCACTACAATGAAATTAAAATACTTAACTGAAGGAAAGCCCTTAATGAAATAACATTATTATCACTGAAATCCACTTGAATGCTTGCTACTGAGGGCAGGGGTTTTGTATGTTTTGTTCACCCATACATCCAGAGCACGGGACACTCATCAAAATAAGAGTCTAGAAAAATAGACACACTTGTGACTTAATGTTATGTTGAAATTTTTATATTGGTACTTACAGATTTTAGATGGTTAATTTTTATAGCTTGTCCATATGGAATAAAATTTTCAGTAAGAGTCAATGTAAGGCCCAAGGTGATACTGAAAAAAACCTAATGGTCAAAAGTGTAAGACATACTTGGTTTTGAGTATTGCTCTATGTACCCATTTATGTGTTTTAAAGAATGTTAAGACAGATATTTGACCATGACCCTGAATAAGAAGCATGCAGTTCTTCACCTGCTTCCCCCCCCAATATTGGGGATAGGTGGGAACAAAAGGCTCTGGTGTTTGGGGAACAATTACCTGCTTTGAACATAAGCAGGCAGTGAACCACTGTGTAAACGTGGTACGAACATGCCATGACTCCTACAAGATGAATATACTAACATGAAATCTTACTGTGAAATACAGAAGCAGATAAATATTTTACAATATAAAATGATTGTTTCATTTAATAAAATTTATATTTTCAGCTATCATTTCAGCGAAAAATTAAATGATACATGAAAACAGATACAAAGCAAAACTGAGCAGCACTGCATTTTAGCACATTTTAAAGTTATCCACCAAACTCAAAGCTTGTTTTACTTCAAATGGGAGTTGCAATGCCATGAAAAGAGTCATGTTACATTGATTAGCAAGGTCAGTAACAAATGTAATGACTAACTTCACTTAACAAAACATTTCACGAGACATTTTATTGATTTTTCAAAAAGCAGTTCATATTTTAAGGTACAATTTATAAACAAAACAATCATATCTTGATTTTTACCAACATGAAAATGCTAATTTTCCTTCACCCCAGTGCCTGGACTGAGGGGTTTTGCAAATCCAGCTCCTGACAGCTCTGTCACAACTGTCACACAGTTTTGTACTTACTTAGCCTGCACTTACGATAACATGGATGCAACTGCCACTGAACAGTAAAAGCAATAGCTTCTTTGATCTGATTTTCTGTTTTAGCTGAGGATTCTACTCACTTACAGAAAACCTGTGGTCTTTCTTCCCATTCCTTTTATAACTTGCTGTTCAGTTTATGGCTAATTTTTCCTCCTGCAGTATGAATTGTTCTTATCTTTAAATGCACCTCTATCTCCATTCACTATAATTATGCCTGCATGCTTCTCTATAGCCTATCAAACATGTAGAACTACATATAAACTGGTATTTTTCAAAAGTCAAAACTTCAGTCAGTCTGTTAATTAGGGTTTAAATTTTTTTTCACTGAGATTCAAAGAATTTTTGCCTTCATTAAAAATTTACATCCATTAAGTAAATAAAAATATGACATCCGTAAGTATGCTTGAATTTGGTTCATGAGTAAGGATTTAGGCATATCCAACTTTTCAATATAAATTAAGGCATTAAATCACCTTTAAGCCAAAAATATGATTATTTCTCAGTAGACATATAAGCAGAACCTAACAGATGGTATCATTGTTTTAAAGGGTGTTTAGCTGTGGAAAACAGTTCAATTAGAAAAAGCCAGCTAACAGCACAAAGGTTACTGGGCTGTGACAGTTTTGAGTAAGATCCATGCAGTGCTATTAAGCCTAAAAAAAAGCCAACAAAGGAAATGGGAGATGAATCACAATAATTACAAGGAGTTCAATTTTACTGTGCATTTACACTGATTACATCCTGTTTCAGGTACCTGTGTAACTGTAAAGATGTTGTATTGCGAAGAAACACAGCTGGAAGTCTGGGCTTCTGCATTGTAGGAGGTTACGAAGAATACAGTGGGAACAAACCTTTTTTTATCAAATCCATTGTTGAAGGAACACCAGCATACAATGATGGAAGAATTAGGTAATAATAATGACTACTTAATGAAAAACTGATATTCAAAGACTTTTTTTCTGCCGATTTTTAATTTAGAAATGTTCAAACCGCCAGAAAAGTTGAAAAAGCATAAGCCCCAGATTTTCTTTATCTAGAGTCACTAATGGTAAATAGCTTACCACTTTTGCTTTCTCTTTCTCTCTAAATATATATTGATATTTATACATATTGCAGAATTGCTTGAATGTACATTGAACACGTTAACATGTCACCCCTAAATACTTCACCACGTACAGATTGTGTTGCATACGTGCAAAAGCTTGAACCCACTTGAAATAAGGCATTTGTTTATCATACCTTTTTTATTGGCAAGAAATTAAACACTTAAGTAGCATTCAATTTCTGAGAAATCCAAAATGATGAGTTACTCTTGTCCCATACAGCAACTTCCTATACTTTCAGTATTCTTTCTAAAACAGGCTGAATAGATAGAATTTGAAGAATTCAAGTGAGGGGGGTGAGGAGAACCTTAATTACAACTAATAAAAGTTGATGTAGCAAAAACTAGGACCACCAAAAAAAAGATGCATTAACTTCAGCTATGGCTCAAAATGTTAATCATATACCTTGTTTTATTTATTTATTTTTAGATGTGGTGATATTCTTCTTGCTGTCAATGGTAGAAGTACATCAGGAATGATACATGCTTGCTTGGCAAGGATGCTGAAAGAACTTAAAGGAAAAATTACTCTCACTATTGTTTCTTGGCCTGGCACTTTTTTATAGACTCAGTGATGGGTCATAGGAAAAAGGAAATCACAAATAAGCTAAGTTGAAACATTTATCTTGTCAATTTTTGTATTTGAAGGCTACACTGTAAAAATGTAAATGTTAATGTCAGGAAGAGTATAATCGAATGAAAGCCACACCTCACAAAATATAATTCTCAAAACATAAACATTACTAATAGTTTTTATTCAGTGTAGAGAATTTTTCATTACTCTACAACTTTAAGTTTATATATTTCTAGTCATAAAAAGCTCTTAAATAGCTGAAATGGTCTGTTTGCCACCAATGAATTCAAATCATACACTTAAAAATTTGGTATATGCTGAGGTCTGCAAAGGTACATTATGGGCATTTTAAAAACAATTTACAGACAGAGGACTTTGAAAGTGCATTGTTGAAAAATGTTCCTTTCATCAAATGAGAAATAAATATTTTTCAAAACTTATATAGGTGTCTTCTAGTACATGATACTAAGTTCATTTCTTTTATGACTATTTAAAAGTTCCTAGTAATACATTCTTTTAAAACCATGTTGTTACCATCACTGGCAAATACCTCCTAAGGGTCACCCCTAAAAATGCTCACAGAATTATAAACTTGCATCTTCTTAGATTTAATAGGAAATGACTAATCTACAGCTGTCATTTATTTTTATTCACAATATAGCTAGTAACTGTATAAAAACTCCATGTGCTGCTCAACCAATGAGCCTTGGAAAAAGCATCAAGAAAGGCCAAACCAGCTTGACCTTGGCTCACATGATATGGCCTTGAGGCAATTCTGATTTGTGTCACAGTGACGAGTATCTGTCCACGTGCCTGACAGAAACTACACTTAGGGCAAGTTATTCCAGAAGCCACCCAAATGCCACTACATTTTATTACTTTGGATAGAAAAGTTCCCCCCATTTAGTTTTACCATGAACCCAAATTTAGAACACTGAAAAACCTGCTATCAAAAAGTTACAAAAACTGTTATGTGAGTTCTCTAATATGCTAAGTAACAGTGCCACAGCAGTGATAAGACTAGTTTTAATCTCAAGACTCAGAGGTGCCTTTGGATGCATTCTGCAGTGCAACCTCTTAAGAAATTGGTATGTGATTAACTCAAAACTGGCCAAGGCAGTGGAACCTTGACCTTAATCAGATACTGTGTATGTACATAGCTAAACGTAGCTCTTTGAAATTCCCTGCTGAGTGACTCATTCACATTACTTTCTTGGATATAAAGTCATTACTGTCTTTTTATTTTTTAAATATTACAAGACAAAGTTTTTTTTTAAGTTAACATGAAAAATTTGCTCTTTTATTTTGGAAGAAAAAAAGTGAACTTTTCATACTAACAGAACAAGATTAAAGGCAAATTTCTTCAACATTATTCAGAAAAATAACAAGATCTAGAGTATCTACTTCCGGCACTGCTGTGCACAAGACACGAGCACGCCTATTCCGCAGGGGCAGCCTCGGTGCTCTCCTGCTCGGGGGCAGGCTCGCTGCCAGCTTCTTTTCCTTCTTTGCTTCTTTTAGATTTTTTGTGCTTGTGCCTCCTATGACTGTCTCCTTCTTCACTTTCATGGCGACGTCTACTATTACTAAAGAAAAAAGAAAATATGTACTTAAACATTTTTACAAAGAATGTAAGTAGTGACAGGTATCAACCCACTTTAGGTAAATCCTCAGTTTAACACTGGTTTTTAAATAATCTAGTAACATTCTTCTTTTTCTCACATTTTAGGGAATAATCATTTTTAATGTGACTTCTATGCCGATATTTGAGTTTTCGGCTCACCTCCACAGATACTTCCTAGGACCCCAAGGCCCATACCCTTTAGATCACGAGGCTGACGTGCTGCCCACTGCACCGAGAGGGCCGCTAGGCCCAGGTAATTTATCCTAAAAGACTAACTACAAATCAGAACAGGAAATACTTTCTAGAGTTGATTTTAGGCAAACAATAGGCATTATAATTTAATTTTTGAGACTACAATGCCCTGAATTTTCCTTAAGTTGAACATTGCTTTGTTTAATGATATTTACTGTAAAAACTTACTCATATGACAAACTCCCTTTCCCAACAAGATCATGCAGTAAGTCTAAGTCTCATATTTTTCATTCTCTAATTTTGGCTTCTGGGTATTAAACATAGTCTTGTTAGATTTCAAAATCTTTGTTGAAAATTCTAAAGAACCAACTATTTCAACAGATTATTCTTAATCTTCCAATTGGTAACACATACGTTCTAGTGGTTATTTGGAAATGTTTTTTTCTTCCCAAGGTCAAATCAGTTTATCTCTTGGCTTCAAAGTGATTCACTATTTTATTAAAGAGCAAACCTTCGAGAGGACTTGTGTCTGGTCTCCTCCTTCTCTCTGTGCCGTCTCTCCCTGTGTCGTTCTTCTTTCTCCCGGCTTGCTCGGTGGCGCTCATAGCCTCTTTCGGCGTACTCCCTGTATCGGTATCGTTCTTCATCACTGAAAGCCGAACAGAAACAACTTTTCTTGACAACTGGACTGTTGATTCTGAATGTTTTTAAACCATAAAAGATGAGAGATCCAAGTCCAAAAAAGAAGCCCCAATGTTATTAGCATTTTATACAGGATAGGTGCAAAGTAAGTATCTGCTGAAATGAGAGGAAAACAATGCTGTTCCCAAATTAGGACTAGATCTAATACAAGAATACAAAATATATAATAATTTAACTGTCAAAGGACCAAGTTTGTTCTGTGCTTTCACAGTTGGTATAGGGTAGAAATTTAATGTAACAATGCTGTTTCCTTCAAATACTGGGAGCTGTAACTCATTTAAATTTTAATCAACAGCTTCATTTTCTTTTCCTTCTTAGAATTAAAAGCATGTTTATTATTCTTTTATTGTACACTCAGTTATAATGTGTCAATTTCTGGTGTACAGCACAATGTCCCAGTCAAAATGTACTTTTTTTATGTCAGATTTCCAACCAAAATTCTTACATTTGTAAAATCTTAGGTACACGGTTAAGATTCTAAAAATACATTAAAAATATATGGCTCACAATGGCTACAAAATGGAAAGTAGATAAAGGATTCTTAAATGCTTCAATCATATTAAATAGTAATTCATCTAATGAAGAGGTATAAACATTAAGAACAAGGGACATCAAAGCAACTTCCACAATATCCACACAAAATGCAGGGAGAAAACTGCTTGTGGATACACTTGAATTTTGACATCCCAGTAACTTAAGGCTATGTATGTGTGGCTGGTGGGGAACAACTTCAAATGCGTATTAAGCTGCACCTCCATTTTCTGATTTTTGGGGGGAATGGGCTGGAGAAACTGGGACTGATGGCTAGAGTTAGAAGGTAGGCATCTTTACCTCCCACGACCTGTCTCTCTCCATTGTCCTTTCATGAAAATGAACAGATATTCTTCTCTCCATTTTTCTCTTAATCCTTCAACTGTCTCTTTTTTGTTCAGCATAGAAGTCAACACTTTCTACATCCTAATGTCAGTGAACTCTCTTAGAATGAATAAAAATATCTTTTAGAGCACTGTGTGCTAAAAAGCTTTGGTTTCTAGAAATGTATGTTTAATACAAATGATTAAATTAGTAATTTAGATGAAGCCCCGAGATGTTATGGAATCTGAGTTAACAGGAGACAGAATCAGGTGAAAGTATAAGCTATATAAAAACAAATCAGGCTAAGTTTGGTTTCTCAGCAAGAGTAATGACTCACTAGTGCTACACCTGATGCCATGTCATATTGCTGACCAACTTATTATTGCCCGTGACACATTTTTAAAATGTGTTATTAAAAAATGTATTCCTGTATGTATATGCTACATATACATATATAAACACTTGTATATGTACACAACCACAATGTTTTGCTAATCACACATAT